ATTGAAATGTCCATCTCTGGTGCACTTGAGTGCCATGGGAGGGTACCCTAGAGTAGCTTCACCACCATTGTCCAGGTTTGGCACGTGCATGTGAGCTGGTGTGCAGGGGTATTTAAAACTGGCCCATAGTACATGAGGTACTTCTCTCTGTGAGTAAAGATGGCAGAACCTAGTAACTGATGATAAACTCACTTCATGTTATATGCAAGTATCCCATAGTCAGGGGCCTACTGAAATCTGGCATTGCCTGCAAAATTGGGCAATGCCTGTGAAATCCACAAGAAGAAAAACCCCTCTCTGAAAATAAAATGCTGGCTCCTTGAGGGGGGGCAGCACCAAGACAGCTGCTGTTCCCACCCAGTGTGGCTGATTGGCTGAGAGGGCTGGTTGTCACATGGCCCTACCTCTCTCCAATTGGCAGCGAGGAGCAGAGCTGCATGATGGACAGCCTTCGCAACCAATTAGTGCTGAGGGGCAAGGCCGCATGATGGACAGTTTTTGCAACCAGTCAGAAGTGGGGGGAATCAAATTAATTGGAATCAAATTAATTTAGAATTGAATTAACCACATGGTTCTCTGTAGAAGTGTTTAAGTTTGTGTCACCTGCTTTGAAATGAAGAAAGAACTTTGGAAACACAGTGTACTCAGTTTAAGTGTTTAGCCTCAGCCCTGAAAAAGGCCATGCTCCAATCTAGAGTATACACTGTGCCAAACCTAATTTAACCAATGTTCACTACTTCACTGTGCTGTCAGTACTGTGATATTAGCAGCCCTGAAACTTGACTAGGTCTTGTCATTTTCAAGGCTTCTAATCCTGGTTTCAAGGCTGCTATTAGAAGCTTTGAAAATGAGGGGAGAGAGCAGCCCTGGAACTGACTGGTTCCTTTATAGTTTCATAGTTTCTAGGGTTGGAAGGGACCTGAGTAGATCATCTAGTCCGACCCCCTGCCAGGCTTCTAATTGTAGCCCTTTGACAGTTGCTTCCCCTTCAGGTTTCTGCGCAGGGGACACAACAGGGTTACAGAGTAGACAGTGGGGCTGAAAGATGCTGTCCGCTTCAGCAATTTATGTATTTAATTGATAATGCAGTGTTTGTTATAACAGAAGCAATGGGCAACAAATTGGGACTGGCATTATGTTATGCAGTTAAATGAATTATGTATTGACCCAGTATGTGTGTAAGTGCAGCATACTATCATCTTAAAGTCTTAAACTTCCCATGGTGCCACCCATCCACACTGGTTTCACTGAATTTGCATATACTTCAGCATACTCAGAATGCATATACTACAACATACTCAGACATAAAGAGTGCTCTTTTATTTTGAACATCCAACACAGACCAGTGGCATACATGGATGGGGTAAATCTGCTTCTAATAGGCCTTTTCAGGGTGGGGATGGTGGAATGGATTTTTGCAATCTTAGACATCACTGATTCCTGAGCATCTCGAGAACAAAGCATGACTAAGCTTCACTTAAGGATAAGATAGGGCTGGCTGAAAAACATTTACTGAGGGTGAGATCTTCAATCATGTTTGGTCCTTTGTATGCCTAGAAAATGGGCCGAAGCAGTGTAAAGAGGTCCTAAGAAACTTGTTCCTAGCCAGCATACTTCAGTGTACCTGGACATGTTGAAACAGACAACTATCTGAGGACCCCACCAGTCCGAACATAGGTCATGTGTGAGGTAGGATGAGCATGTTGGGGTCAATAATGCAATATGAAGCATTGCAAAGTCTCTATGTAGCAAGACAACTTGGGGGTTGCCATAACTAAGGCAGACTCCAGTGGTGACATGTAGAGGATGCACATGCACCCCCTGAGAGCACTGGTGAGTGCCCTGAAGGCCAATATTCCCCGCTTAGGCAGTGGGGCAGACGATAGAGCTGGTGCCCCCCCAAGAGTGCCGTCCAGGGAGTGGTGGCACCAGAAGAACTGATCCCAGTGGCCAATTGCGCTAGCATGATTGGCCATGGGGGATCCCTGCGCCCTGTCACTGCCTGGCCACTGGGCACCAGGCGCCCATGGCAGACTCCCAGGGCTCTTAAGTACATTGCAGGCTTCTGCCCCTGAAAGCAGCCTAGCATCAGGAGAGCACAAGGATTCTAATATGAAAGCCTAAGTCTGTTTGTCTGTCTGTCTGTCACACTTTATTTGCACTCTGATTGGCTGATGGAAACAGCCAATCAGAGTGTTCCAAGCGTGGGGAGTGCCGCCACGATTCTGAAGCTATGCCAAGGACCAGGCAGAGGGTGGGGGAGCCAAGGCCAGCAACACTGGCCTCCGTTCCCCCACCCTGCTCTCTGCAAGAGGCAGAACAGCGGCAGCATGGAGCGTTAGGTGGTGACACTCCATCCTACCCCCCGGTACCCAAAAAAATGCTTTCTAGTGAATTATAGTATTGGAGGGCTTACACTGAAACTATCAATCAGCTTATTGGATTTATTTTGCTTTTTTTTTGTTTCCGAAAATCTGTCTGACTGAAAATTGGGAAATATATATGTAAAATAAAATGTCTCAGAAAAGAATTATTTTCCATGCTTGATTTAGAAAATTGTTATCATCTAGTGAGAGAGATCCCAAATGTAGAATTAATTATTCATGTATATTACAAAGAATGGAAGGTTAAAAGGGAGTGAATTTGCAGTATAGACTATTAGAAAAATCATTACAGAACTCGGTGCATTTCTGATTTTATTGGATCCCATAATTTTACTTGATTATAAATCACACTTAAAAACCCCCCTGAATTTAAATAATTAAGGAGGAGTTGAAAATATTTTGTAGGTAAGTTCATAGTTTCATAGTTTCTAGGGTCGGAAGGGACCTGAGCAGATTATCGAGTCCGACCCCCTGCCATGGCAGGAAAGAGTACTGGGGTCAAACAACCCCAGCAAGGTGTTCATCTAGTCTCCTCTTAAAGACCCCCAGGGTAGGAGCCAGCACCACTTCGCTTGGAAGTTGGTTCCAGATCCTAGCCTCCCTAGCCGTGAAGTAGCGCCTCCTGATGTCTAGTCTGAATCTACCTCTGCCAGCTTGTGACCATTATTTCTAGTCACTCCTGGTAGTGCTCAGGGGAACAGGGACTCCCCCCAATGCCTGCTGGTCCCCCCTGACTAGTTTGTAACAGGCCGCCAGATCTGCCCCTCAGCCTTCTCTTGTGAAGCCTTAGCCTTTCCTCATAGGGCCTGCCTATGAGGCCTATATTAAATATTTAATAGTAATCAGGTATGTCCTTTCCTTTCCATAAATTAGAACTATATGATACAATACAACATAAAAAATTGCTCACCTTGACAAAAAAAAAATAATTATTAAGTATAATAAAGATTGTTGGCTGCAGCCCAGGGACAACATGGGGTCATGCCAGGTTGTGCGTACTCTGCTTTCAACTTGCTGGTGCAAGGTGAGCCCAAGTGCCCCCTGCACTGGTATGTACGGAGGGCACAATTGAGATCTAATGCCTGATTCCAAAGTTGTACCTCCTGCCAAGTATATGGGGACCTGTAAAACTGTATTTTTGGTAATTAATGTGCTCTACAATGGTGTGGTTCAATGAATCAAGTTTGCTTGGAAACTTTAGTTCAAAACTATTTTGCTACTGTCAATTTGTCATAGTATGAATACAGATTAATTTAAAATAAGTGACTTACTTTGAGTATTAAATGTAAATATATTTTCTTTTAAAAATTACCATGTTTGTCCTAACATTTTAATGAATTAAAGGTTGCTGCTTTTGTAATTGTATACAAGAGCTGAGAAATATTTAATATTTTAAGTAAACTCAAAACTATATGAACTTGTCATAAAGTCATGTACTGTATTAAGCACTTACATAATTTTCAGCCTTGCAAAGGAGCAAATGCTGGTGTTTACAGTTTTTTTTCACATCGGTACTTCCAGTTTGTTATGCAGAAAAGCTTTTGTCTTAATTGCTCAGTTTACCGAGTGGGTGTAGAGCGAATATTTTCTTCATTTGGATTAGTTCATTAAAAATTGAGGAACTGGCTGGGAACGGAAAAGCTAGGAAAGCCTGTTTTTTATCTTCCCATCTCTGAACAAGAACAGATGGGAGAGTAGGATATCTACTGATTCTAAATACTTGAGGGACATGTGGCCAGATTTTTGTAAAGGAATTTAGGCATTAAAAAAGATGTGTGCCTAATGTGATTTTTAAAAGTGCTTAAGCGGGTCAGGTGCCTACTTCCCATTGAAATCAGGAGGGTTATATATATTAGGTAATTGGCTGTATCTTTAAATGTTAAATTTGTTTGGTAAATTGGAGTTGTTGATGAATCAAGTTTAAAAAAAAAAAAGTGGAGTTGAATCTGGGCTATGGTAAACAGTAATAACTTTGTAAATTATCTTACTACAGATAAATGTTTCATTATTTCTTTCTTTAATAAATCACTTTTAAATGGAAAATATATTTTGATGAACTTACCATTTCTTCTTAGGAATCCAAAAACAATTAAGGTAGCTTGACAACTAATTTAAAAGCCAACCAAAAATATTATCAGCTGCTTTTTTATGCTTATGTCCATTGAAATGTAGCTAGACGCAGATCACTTGGTGTATAAAAATGCCATTCTCCGTTTTCTCAGAGAATAACATGCAGTTGATAAGAATCTGAATAGGCATGTTGAACTGGTTAAGTGCTTAAATATATGTCTACAGATATGGTGTATTCTTTTGCACAACTAAAAGTACTACATTTAGTGTGAAGGCCATCTTTGGCTTAAAATCAACATGAACCTGAACCTTCCTTTAAGAAAATAACTAAAGTACAAATGCAAAACAAGTGTTTAAATTAAGAACCTTGTTCTAAGTTGTTTTGTTTTTTTTAAAGTATCAGTAAAATCGGTGACTTCAGTTTATATGGTTTGTCACAACTTAAGAAATTTAAAATATTAAGTGTTTGTTTTAAAGTACTCTTATTATTTCATACTGTTCTGGTAGAGATTGTACAAGTTTGAAATAATTATTCTACTATTTTAGGAAGTAACACAGATATTACTGGAGGACTTGCATATTTACCATGAAAATTATTTCCCAGTTCTGAAATGTCTTCACATTTTCACATCTTCTCTTCCAAAGTACCCTTTGGGCAAACAGGTAAAGTACTATCTGTTTATTTCAGTGAAATGTTGACTTCTGTTTCATAGTTTGACATATTTATACTTTTAAATATGCTCTTGTCTTTGTTGCTTCCCTTGGTTCCTTGAATTCACAGTCAGGCATTTTTTCAATTTTATTATGGACAGGTGAACAGAACATTGTTTAACAGCACATATCATATTCAGTCGTGACTAAACATTGGAGAGCTTGTAGGATAAACAGATGCACAGAACAGCCAGCCCATCTGTAGTATGTCTGGCTTCCGTGCATCTGGAATGTACATGGAGAATTGCTATCTTGCATGCCTCCTATCCTCAATCAGTCAGTTGCCTAAATCTAGAACTCACATGAGAATTAGCGTTCCTGGGTCAGAAACAAAATAGCAGTAAAGAAACAGTCATTGGTACTCTTTACTAGTACCTCGCCTGTTGACCCGTATTTGGATCACTGATAAAAAAAAAAACAAATTTGACTTTTATATTAAGCAGTTAATTCTGCTCCCCCCCTTCCCACATCATCATTAGAGGTGGGCCTCAGCTGCAGACACAATGTGAATTTTCCTGGTGTTTGCCAATGAGAATATTTGTTTGATTTGTGGGATTTGGCACAGTTTTACATCTAATCTTTGGCAGTGCTTTTTCTTGAATGGACTGTGTTAAAACATGCTGTTAGATATAAGCTCATTCTTGCAACTCTGAGGGCCCCTGGTCTTATCGGATGCTGAATGACCTCATGTCCAGCTAGGTCAATATGATTTGAGGACCCTCAGCAGCTCACAGAATCAAGCTTCAAATTAGCCATCATTTTGTAAGTAAATGTAAAACTTGTCATTACTTGTTTTGTTGGACATTTTATTTATTTATTTTTTATGTGCTGATTTATAGATCAGAGAGCTGCACTGTGCATGTTTAGAAAAGAGAGTGTGGGAAACAAAAGAATATGAGTCAGCTCTTCAGCTAGTGAGGTAATCTTCTTTCCATTTTCTATAAGTTTTATTTTAGACATGTAGCACATCTCCCATCTGCCTCTCCAGAGCCATAAGTTTAGAACTCTCCCTGCCTTGGAGTTTTGTAACTGAATATATTATTGATTGTAAAAATAATTGGCTATTGTTTTTCATTTGCAGTTTTGTTTGTTTTGGTAAGCTGTCAGGACCCACGCAAAGCCATATTTTTAGTATCTTCCTCTGTGCACTTCCTGTCTTATTCTTTGAGTAGCCCAGTTGAAGTCACTGTCTGTTATTGAGGGTCTGTCTACACTGCCCACTAAATGACTGTCAAAGCTTTGAAACAACATTTGAGGACACCCACCAACCAGCTGACCTGCTGTGAAGTTGGATATTTTTCCCTATGCAGAGCTCTGTGTAGATCTTTTTTGGCACCAGGAGTAACTCATTAAAAACTATCGATGGTATCTTTACAGGGCGTTGAAGTGTGCAGTAGAGATTTACCTTAGGAGTGCTCAGTATGAATTAGGATTTTGGCAACTCACTTGAAATACTTGTTTGAATGAGGTTCTTAGAATTTTTTATGTGATTATTTATTGGGTGTTCATAAATTTAACAAACTGTCAGTACTCCAGTTTTTTCCAGCATTCTTTTTTTAATGGTAATTATCAATATAAACTGGCAAAATTTTGACCTGCCATGAAAATTTAAGTAACTTCTCCCAATTACTTGTTAACAGCTTTACTATTTCTCTGTTTTGTAAAATTGCATTTTATCTTTGGCCAGATGCCATGCTGGTATTTTCTGTAGCTTTGCAATTTTAATATAGGTCCCAACAAAACAAGAACTGCTGTTTGTTGTGAATGTTTAGAAGAGGAAAAACTTCAAAGCCAGTTTAGGGAAAATATGCTGTAGTTGCAATTGTACCTCCTTTTGAGTACAAGTATCATGAAATGTTGAGCCAGTATGGTGGTCCTGGCACAGGCACAGTGTTGTGGTCATAGGGAATTCTTCTTTGGAGTCTCCCTTAAGGGATTCAGTACCACTGGCCTGGAGTTACAGAACTGAAGAGAAAAGCTCTTTCAGGATGTCTTTTGAGGATGAAGGAGCGCTATTGCATTAGGACATGCACACCCTTATCTCTGTTCCTCTGCCTTCGCTACAGAGACTTAAGCTCCCATTGTCCATGAGCATAGGTAGTTGTATTACTATTTGTTAGTTAATTAGCGGGCCAGAAACAAGTTTATTTAGGCCACATGTAGACCACAGATTTTCTATGCCTGCCACTGGTATCCCCAAACATGCTGCACTGCTCCATGTGAGCTGCATCTTGAACTAGGAGCAGGGTAGCTGCTTCCCACATGGCTACAAGCAGCCTGTTTACTGGTACTGAGTGACAGTAACCAGGGACCCTCTGCTACATTAATTAGTTTGCCTGAAAATCCATGTAAATACACAGATAACCTGCTTCCAGTTGAGGAAGTAAGGGGATGTGTTTAAGGGGTGCTGCTTCCAGGCATAGTAAGCTTGTGGTCTAGACTTGGCTTGGATGCCCCAGTACAGTTTGTTGTGCCTTTTAACATAGCTAAGATTAAGGCTGCAAATACATTTGGCTGCTTTAAACTCAAACTGAACCATCTAAGCTCTTCTTCCCAAGTTTCGAGTTGTCTGTCTGCTAAAATCCTGTGTTTGGATTGGAGACTGGGACTGGAGATACAGCTGGGTATCCCAGGGCTAGTATTACCCTCTGAGCTAGGCCTGAGATAAGTCACCATGAGGCAGCATCTACTTGGGGCTAAGCTTCCCACCTGGCACGACAGGAAAATTATTTTGGCACCACAGTCTACATCAGAACCACTGTTAGCCCCCAAAATTAGCTTGGTGACTTTATAGAGTAGGAGCCAGTCATTCCTACAGCGAGCAATTAGGGCTACCAAATCACCTTTCTGTTCCAACGAAGAGGGAGGAGAGAAGAGGAAGCACAGATTCACAAAATGATCCTGTGGAGAAATATATAGGAGACACTGTTCTCTTCCACCAGTTCATGTCACCATGTGGAAGACCCCTTGCCTGTCCCAGTCTGCCTTTCTCACATGCCTCTTCTCAACTTGAGGCTTTACTGCCAAGTGATTTTTTTTTTTTTGTCTCTTTGATTGTATTTCTTGGCATCAGCAGTTTTCCTTCGGGACCAGGGAACCTCTGTTAAAGGTTCTGGCAACGCCACTGCTGCTGGCCTCTGGGGATCTACATGTGTCATTGATATCAATCCAGAACATCATCTGAGTGGAATGAGATGCACTTGGAACCAACCACATTTGCTTCTCAGAGCCTCGCTTGCTTCCTTCTCTAAATGTTCCATCTGGCTTGAATAACCTTATCCGTGCACCCATGCACTGGTACAGGCTGGGGACTGACTGACTAAGCAGCAGCTCTGCAGAAAAGGACCCCTGGGGGTTACAGTGGACAATAAGCTGAATATGAGCCAACAGTGTGCCCATTACCAAGAAGGCTAATGGCATACCGGGCTACACGAATAGAAGCATTGTCAGTAAATCAAGGGAAGTAATTATTCCCCTCTGTTAGGCACTGGTGAGGACACATCTGGAGTAGGTCACATCGATTGTGGGCCCCCCTCTACAGAATGAATGTTGACAAATTGGAGAGAATCCAGTGGAGATCAGCAAAAATGGTTAGGGTGCTGGGGTATATGACTTGTGAGGAGAGGCTGAGGAAACTAGGCTTATTTAGTCTGAAGAAGAGAAGACTGATGGGGGATTTCATAGCACTCCTCAAGTACATGAAGAGTGGTTGCAAAAAGGATGGAGCTGGACCAGGTGTGGGCAAACAGTGGCCTGAGGACCAGATCCAGCATGCCAACCGATTGTATCTGGCCTGTGGGTCAGCGGCCACAGTCATGGGATATGGCCCATGGGGAGCCGGCAGTTCCAGCTTCTGCTTCGTTCCAGGCAGGTGGGCACTTCTTGACCCCACCCACAGCTTATACCACCTTCTGCCCCGTGCGCTGGAAGCAGTGCTGGGTGCATGCTGACATCAGCTGTGGACACTGCCTGCAAATTCCCACCAGGGATCAGGGTAACTGTCTAGGACTGCAGCTGATGCACTGATGTAGCAGTGTCATCTGTGGACCTGGGAGGGTGCCCCAGTCTCCAGCAGGAACAAGCCGCCTGCATCCGCAGCTGATGTTGTCGCCCACTCGGTGCTGCTTCTGGTGCACAGGCCAGGAGCTGGTGTAAGCTGTTGAGCTCTGCTGTATATGTGGAGTGGTTGTGGGGGAGGGGGAGGAGGAGGAAGAAGGGAGAGACAGAATGGTAGCTCTGCCCATGATTAGCAGCAGTGGCCAGTGCTGGGCACCAGGCAAAAGCAAGACCCTGCAGCAGGTGTGTTTGCCACTTCTGGGGCCCTTCTGGCTGTGGCTGCCCAGAGCCCATACTGGGGCTGCCCTGCAGCTCCTCCTTGCTGCCATTCTGAGGGCCCAAGGTGGCCTGGAGGTGGTGCAGGGTGGTAGCAGCATGGAGCAGCCACAGGGCAGCCATGGTGCATACTCCAGGCAGCTGCAGCCAGAAGGGCCATGGAAGCGGCGAGTGTGCCCACTGCTGGGTCCTGCTTTTGCCGAGCACCCAGCACCGGCCGCTGCCGCTCACGGGCAGGGCTGCTTTCTCCCCTTTTCTCCCTCCCCCTTTCCCCCAACCATCACACACCTCCAGCATGGCCTTGCAGCTTATACCAGCTCCTGGCCCATGCACCAGAAGCAGTGCTGGGCAGGCATGGGCATCAGCTGTGGACGCAGGTGGCAGCTTCCCCCAGGGAATTGGGGTGTCTGCCCAAGCCTCTCTTTGGGGTAAAAGGGTGGGCTGGAGGGTGAAGCTGTTGCCTGTGCCCACACCAGCTCCCTCCTGCCTGCAGCTCCATCCCACATAGGGAGGTTTGGTGAGCCTGTTGCAGGGGAGGTGCTGACTCAGCCCATGACAGCTCCCCAAAACTCCCTACGTGGCCTTTGGGTCTAAATAATTGCCCACACCTGAGCTAAACTGTTCTCAGTGGCAGATAATAGAACAAGGAGCAATGGTCTCAAGTTGCAGCAAGCGAAGCTTAGGTTAGATATTAGAACAAACTTTCTCATTAGAAGGGCAGTGAAGTACTAGACCAGGTTACCCAGAGAGGTTGTGGAATCTATCCTTGGAGATTTTGAAAGCCTGGCTAGACAGAGCCTTGGCTGGGGTGATCTGGTTGGGGATGGGGGGTTGGATTAGATGACTTCCTTGGGTCTCTTCCAACTCTAACTTTCTACAATTCAGGGACCTTATTCAGTTAATGTGGATCTACATTCAGGAGTTCAAGGAATATTATTGAACACGGCTTGAACAAATGTTTCTCTATTTTGCCACAACCAGCAGAATACTGACTTCAGAAATAGTCATAGCAAAATCCATACCCTTTCTGGCTCTAGCCTCTTTTCCAGCACCTGTCTTTGAGAGCATTCATTTTTCAGATGCCATAAATCGCCCTTCTTTCCTCCTGCATCCTCCATTCTCCTCTTTAAACACCCCTGCATCCAGCTCTCTGCTTTTCTCCGTCTTCATGTTAACCAATTGCTCCCATCAGCCTTCTTCTCCGACTTCAGCTTCAGTGTTTCTCTCTCTGTCTCTCATATTAATTGTTGATGATTTCAGCTTCAGTACCAACAACACATCCACTACCCTTGCTACGTGTTTCCTCATGCTTAGCTTTACTACTTATCAAAAGTTCTGTTCACTTGACTTGGCCTTCTCCAAGCACTGATCCCTGTTGGAGTTTTCACCCTCTCTGTCATCTGGCTTCTTTCAGTATTGCAGATCAGCTTGCAACCCCTAAACTCTATCACTCAGCTTTTCTATAAGTTTTAGTCCACCCCTTTTGATGATTTCTGCCACGGAGCTTTCCTCCTTGCTGTCTCTTCCTCGGAGGTTGATTCTCTCCATGCTTCATTCTCCTCTATCCGTAAATCTCTTGTCCCTCTATCCCACTGGAGGATCCACCTTCCACAACTGAGCACTGGTTTACTCCTACTGGGCGTATCTATACAAGATGCTAACTGCGCAGTAGCCAAATAATACTGCTCAGTAGCATGTAACAGCACAAACAGCACTAATACGCTACTGGGCAGTATTATTAGGCTACTGCACAGTAACATCACTAAAAAGGTATTCATTGGTGCTACTGAGCAATAACTCTGGTTATTGCACATTTATTTAGTACTTGATTATACAAGTGCTACATAAATGCACAGTAACCATTACACAGTAGTGTCTTGTGTAGATGTACACCCCCTGTCTATTTTCTCTGCTCCAACTCTTGGGCTGAATTTGATTGAAATTCCATGACCGTGCTGATTCTTTCAAGATGAATTCTTTTTCTCCTCCTCAGTCCACTATCATCCTAGCTCTATAGCTCTACTTCTTCAGTTTATTGAGGTAGCAATAAGGAAGAGGACAAAATTCCTTCCTGGACAAGCAAAAGCAAAGAAGCACAGGATAACCAGAAACCTTCTACATCTCAACTCAAGCTTCAACATGGCTAGAGCAAAACTCTCTTAATTTTTCCTCCTAAGCTTTTTCTCTCTCCCTCCCAGGCCCTTTTCTTAGTTACTGTAGACAATCTGACCATCCTGCCTATCACTCAGATACAGAACTTGAATTTGATTGTTGACCCACACTATTCTCTAGGTCTTCACATCCAGGAAATGTCCAGTTCTTTTAGATCACTAATATACTGCCTTTCTTCTCTGCCCACACAGCTAGAATTTTCATGCAAGCCTTCATCATCTGTATCTTGATTACCCTTTTCTCTAGTCTTTACAAAATAGTCCTGCCCACTGAGAGTGCTGTTGTAAAGACCACGTCCTGGCCTGCTCTTTGGACCACATCACCGTTCTCTTTTCTGTTTCCCCAAACCTGAGTTCCATTTTCACTCTTTTATTTTTGTTCTTCTCTTTCTTTCATTTTTGTTTCTGTCCCTCACTGTCATCTCTTTATCCCTACTGAGATAAGCTTCTACCTCTGATTTATTCTGTGATGCCAACCTCCACTAGCCAGTTGCTAAATTTTCCAATAAGCACCTCCCTGTATTCTTCCAGACTGCAACTCACGTTTTGGAGGAGCTCCCTGTAAACATCTTCTTATTTTCCTTCATATCTTCCCTTAAAACACTTATAAAACCATGGGGATATTTATGTGGCCATTGTGCTTTTAAACATGGGGCAGCCTGTGCTGCTGATCATTATTGTCCTTTTCTCTCCTTGTACCCCCTGTCTGCCTATATCTTGATTATCTAATCCTTGAGTTTGTAAGCTCTTCGAAGGCAAGGATCATTTTTTGTTTTAGTTTATATAAACTTAGCATTTACTGTGGGTCCTTTTCCCTAGCAAGGTTTCCTAGGCACTGCCATATGACAAATGCATCATACTCAGAACCAATATGGTCTCTATTTTAAATCTGTCTTGGATTGTACTTCAGAAGAAGACTTGTATGTTAAGTCAGTGAGTTAAATTAATTACTCATTATGTTTATTGCTAATAGTTTTACAGTTCATTTATATTGGATATTTGTGACGATTTTCTGCCTTTCAAATGAAAATAATGAGACAAATATTTAGTCATCTCTATAAAACACTGAGATCTAGAGCATGTGAGTACCATTTACATGCACATGGTAACAGTTTTATATTAATTAAACACGCAAAGCAATAATATGGATTTTGATTTAAATTAATTTGTGGATTCACATTGTAATGGATTTTGTGGACTTAATGTGGTAGCTATTGGTAACTATTAGGCCTGTGCAAATAGGCAACTATTCGATTTGGATTTGGCCAGTTTGGATTTGGCCTATTCGATTCAGAGATTCGAATCGCTTGTCCGATTCGATTTGGCCCAATCAATTCGGAAATTCGGCCATAGGGTATAATGGGGAATCAGTGAACTATCTATAACTTTGTTGTTTTTTGGCTGATTTGGATGGAATTTGCAGGGGTGGTAGTTTCTGCTGAGGGCATGAAGTTTGCCAAGTTTCAAGGTGATAGGTGCAGGGGTTTCTGAGAAACTGCACCTCAAAGTCCTGAAAGCAAGACTCATGTCCCGTGTGTGCGTGTGTTAAGCCGCAGTGGGGTGAAAACTGCAGGGGTAGTAGCTCTTTCTGAGGCCACAAAGCCTGACAGGTTTCAAGGACGTAAGTGCAGGGGTTTCCGGGAAACTGCACCTCTGCACTTTTACCTGCGCAGCTACATCACCCTTCCCCCAGCCTGTCCCTCACCCCATGACGCCCCCATTTCTGTTTTCACTGACTGGCTTTCTTGCCTGCATTGCATGCCAAGCCAGCTTCTGGCTTCTTTACTATTCCTTCCATCCAGGACCAGGAGACACACCAACTGCACGTACTTCCCCAGCCTGACAAAGGGTTTTTCAACCCGAAAGCTTCTTAAGATACATTTTTCTAATTATTTTGGTTTTTGTCATAATAAACATAAAAACACAAGATAAGCCATCACACACCACGAGTAACATATATCCAACAGAACATCTTTACTTCTTGCTGTCAATTCCTTTATAAAAAGAAAGGCTCTGTGACGGTTCTGTCTGGATACCTTTGCTGCTGGTGGTGCTATTGGTGTTGAGCCAGCTAAGTTATTTTGATGTGCCATCATTTACAGTGGTGGACTGGTCAAGGCTGTAGGGAAGGAGGCGGCCTCATGGGGGCACACTGCTGTGTTGTGCAGAGGCCCCAGCGCCAGGAAGGGCATACCTGAACACACACACAGTCCCACAAGCACCCATGTCATGAGTTTTGCCTGCCTGCGGCCAGAGGTACAGGGCCTCCGAACCCAGATTCCCCCTGCACCTATCTCCTTGACAGCTGGCAGGCTTTGTGGCTGCAGCAGGCCCTAGCAGGCCTACAGTTTTCACCCCCCCTGTGCCTTAACGCACACACGCAGTGTCACCTATGTCATGAGTTTTGCTTGTCAGCAGTTTGAGGTGCAGTTTCCCAGAAACCCCTGCACCTATCTCCTTGAAACTTGGCAGGCTTCATGCTCTCAGACGCAGCTACCAACCCTGGAAGTTTCATCCAAATCAGCCCCACAACAATAAAGTTACGGATATTTCATTGATTTCCCCATTATACTCCACGGCTGAACCACCGAATCTTTTCCAAATCAATTCGGAAAGCCTAACACTTCTAGCGATTTGATTCAGATTTGTAGATTTGGCATCTGAATCATCTTCGAATCCAAATTGCAGTCTGAAGCTTTGCACAGTAGCTATTCCAGATTCTGTAATTCACGCTTTGTTTGCCATGAATTGCAAACCCTATCAAATGTGCCAAGTCCAAGTTCACCCTTCTAAACTAGAATCACAGAGAAAGGTGTTTAGAAGATGCATCCCCATCTTGTTCACTTTGGAGACCAGATACTGACAAACTTTGTCATCTTCAACTCTTCAGAGAAACTGCAGGATACCTGCTTCTCTCCCAATAGATGGCTGGGCTACTTTTAAACACAGGGCAGCAAATAAAGATGTGTAACAGCAAGGAAGGACATCAGCTGTACAGGAAAGCTGTGTATTTTGAAGTGAGAAAATACTGGGATAATTTTCTCCCTCTTTTGAATAAGTAGTAAAAACTGTTAAATACTTCAGAAAACTTTCCTGTTTGCTGATTATATTACACAATTATTGATTCTGTTTTTCAGGATGTTGTGTAAGGCTGACTTAGTGGCCATGCTTCAAAAATGTGTGAAGATTTTTATGTCTGTTCCTGGAAAAGAGTTTGGCAACACAGTAGAGAAACTGAAGGAGTTCTTGGCCCAATTTCAAAATCTGGAAGGTGAGTGTGTAACATTCAAGCCAAATTGTTTGGCAGCAGCAATCCATTATACAATGACTACAAAGAATATGCATTTTGACTGAGGAAATCCATTGGTCTGGCTACTGTTGTCACATAGCATTGTTATATCAAACCTCAAAATTTCCCCACTTGAAGAATGTATGACTAGTGTTTTATATGACAGTACCTTTCTGTGGAAAACAAATTACATACAAAGTAGGAATTGTTTATTTCTGTTACGGCCAGATGGCTCATGCTTTTTAAGATGGTAGAGTTATGGGAAATAAGGAACTGGACAGATCAAAAGGCATTTGATAATTAATGTATCTTGAGTATTTTATCAAGTGTATGCCAAATATCAAAAGATGTTTAATGAATAAGTCAAAATCTTAAAATATTAATAGTAACAAACTCATTTTAAGTATTTTTGGGTTTGTTACCATGCCAGTTAATAAATTCAAAACAAGCTCCAGTCAAAGCGAATTGAGAGTTAGAGGGTTCAGATTATGGGAAACCTGAGTGCAGCCCTGTGGCAACCTGGAAACTGTTTATAATATAACACAACGTCACCGTACTTCCAAAAGGAAGCTTAACCCATAGAAATCATGCTTCTTCTTAATCAGAGCACCTTTTAGCTGGATTAAGAGGCAGCACTGCAGGCTATACCTACCTCTCTTTTACTGATGGAAGGCCCCTGGTTCAGACAGCTGGGCCAGTAGATGGTGAGCACAGAAACAACAGCTACAGACATGGGTAGCATGCTGATCAGAAGAAATGTTTGAGGATTATTGTGGGAAAATAAATATCAGTTCTTTGCACAGTTATGGTAATAAAACGCAAACAAGGCACTGAATCGCAGCATGAGGACTGGGTCAGAAAATGAACGAAGTGGACTGTTGTTCATATCAGGCAGTTGCTACCACATGTCCAGGGGTAACCTGCGTCCAGTATTAGCCACTGTAACAGAAGAAGGTGGCAGTCGCTTTTGAGGAAGGCAATCCACAAGGGTTTATTGACAGGACCTTCCTGCCTGACCTGGATCACTGCCAAAGAAGGCAGCTTTGCCCACTTGCTCCTGTTCCCCTCACACCCAACTTGGACATCTCCCAGCACTGGCTTGGAGATTTAGAACCACTCTGAGTGGACTCTCAGCATGTGGCTGCCTTTCTTAGGCTCTTCCAGGATAGCTGTTCACCCAATCTAACCGCCTTGCTCTCTAGTTCGTATGCATAGAGTGGGAGTGGGCAGGACTGTTTCCTAAGCAGCAGTCTGGGGCTGACAGGGCAGCATTATAGACAAGCCCTTAAGATCTAGTTTAGGAAAATCTAAGCTCCCTTGGAAGACTAGTTTCATCAAGTTTGGAGAAAAGAAACAGTTGAATGAGCAGGTTTTAGAACATAACATTTATGAAAGATTTCAGTAGAATTCATATATTTGAATATTAAAAGATACAAAAACACTTGAAGTATGGGGAATAAAGGATACAGAGAGAATTTGGGTAGCAGAGCTACATTGCACATGAGGTAATAAAGAGGGTTTGAGGGAAGATGATTGAAACAAAGAGTATAAAGGAGTTTTTTCAAGAAAGGCCAAGATTTATTTTCAGAGAAGTAATGGTTTGATGTGTGGTGGGAAAGCATTAAGGGAAAGTTAAGATGAATGGTAAATAGACAGGCTTGTTGGCCCAGATGACTTTCTACTGCTTCTAAAACTATGCACGTTCTTGTGACTGTGTTGGCCTGCAGCAGAAACTTTTGAAGGTATGCCAAAATGGATTACATACACAAATCTCACTCAGAGTCCCCTGAAGTAAAGAAACAGAAATCTGCTTTGTAAACCAACAACAAAATTCCTTCCATCCAGGTTTGTCTAGTGAACTGAAAAAATCAAAATGTGGAGCTAGAGGCAGCAAAGTATCATTCTTTTAAGTCTGTTTTGAGCTGATGGGAACATTTGATAAAACCAGCCCAAAGTTAATATATCACAGTAATAGTGAAGGGGAGAGGGAGGCCTCTCCTGATTGAAATCTTGCATCTTTATGTACATACAGAAATATGGTTTTCATTTTTCATTTGTCTGGATGTCATCTAAATCTCCTTTCAGCCTGTCATTAATGCATGCATATGGGGAATCTTTCACATTTGTGTCAGTTCACCTTTGGAACTACCCCAAGCTACTTTCAGCCTTTTTGTTTTCTTTTAAAAAATGAAAATAGCTGATGAATGGCTGTGTATTACCAGCTTCTTTGGAAACCAGAACTAGCATAATATAAACCCCAAGCATTTGACAGTCACAAGTTAGGCCTCAGAGTTCACTAAGTTGTCTTGAAATGATGAGAGTTGCAAATACATATATATTTGAGTTTGTTTAACTTTGTTTTCTGATTTCTGACCTTTAGACTGAGTCCATACAAGCAGGGGCATGCCCACAAATAGTAGTGGCAAAAATTTGTGCCACTACTTTGTGCCACAGTGCACACCCTTGCCTGTGGCCTTTGCAGCAGGACACAGTGTGCCACTGCTCCATGTGCTGCAGGAGGGGCTGGCTGGGGCGCAGAGTGCCTCGGCAGGGACTATCCATCCCCTGCCCTGATGCACCCTGTACACCGAAGAGTGGCCCATGGAGGTGGAGGTGCAGGCAGCCCAGGGCACTGCGGAGCCCCTGCGCCCAAGCCATCTGCTCCTCGTGTGGCTGGGATGCAGTGTTGCCAGAGCTGCCTGGCCCCCTCCTTCCTGAGGCACCCTGTGCCCCAGCCAACCAGCATGTGCAGAGATGGGAGAGCAGGGCTTCCTGCTCTGGGCTGCCTTCTCCCCCATCTCTGCATTTGTCCCGGTGCTTGCCAACTTGGCATGGGTTGCGTCATTTTTTCTGGGATTTTTTTTTGACTACCTGGGAATCCTGGTAGCAAATTTTGCGTTAGCGTTGTAAATTAGCAGCACTGCACAATGATTACTGTGCAACTCGTGAAGTTTGTGGTGATGCAAAGAGGTTTGTGGAGCCACAAAACACACGTGCCTGCACATCTGGATCCAGCCTTAGGGTATGATTGCTTTACATTTCAGTCTTTTCTCTGTAACAGGGGTAGCTAGATTCTTTTTTCTTCATTGAAAGCTAAGAATATCCAGTAACCAGTTTTCTGTAGGAGATGGGGCCTTAAAATATGTAAGACTGCAAAGCTGGGGATAAAAATCAAGAGTTAAAGTACTGAAAATAGCAGTGCTCTCCATTTGAGGGCTCACTTGTAGGATTGCAGGGAAGAGTTTAGTCATTTTTTCCATTGAAACTTTTACCCTCTTCTGGATAGCAAACTATGGTGGTGATTTTGAGATGCTGACAGCTCTCTACTAGGCATTAGACTGAAAATACTACCTCACTTCATGTAGGCTTCCAAGCTGCTATAAGACATCACGAATAACCTGTGCTGAACTGACACTTGTCTAATTTATTGTCAACACCATAGGAATGCAAATGACCTAAATCACTTGGGTTTTTTAGAGTTAATTGTTACTGGGGAAAAAGAAGGGGTTTTTTTGTTTTTGTATTCCAAACCTGTCTTAACATGGAACATATGGAGGTGTTTTTTAGGGAGGATGTTTTTGGGGCAGGGTTCTCGTAGAAACCACAGAAAAGTAGGGTTGGAAGGGACCTCCGGACGTCATCTAATCCAGTCCCTTGTGTGTGGCAAGCTCATCCCTATCCAAACCATCCCATTCAAATCCATTGCCTAATATATTAGCAAAACTACAGCCAGCCCAGACACAACCATAAGACATAACACCCTAATTTATCACATGTTTGTGTTGAAAAGAAGCTTGCTAATAATGGACACAATTATCAGTGTAAGCAAAACTCAGATATAAGCTAAAACCAGGCTAAAAGTGATCAATAATATGCCTCAGTATATCCCAGTTTCACTTTTTTCAGGCTTTGGTTCTTTGCTACCAGTCTTATGTTCAATTTCAGTGAAAAACCAAATGATACTATGTCTAGATTTCTGAAAGCTCATTAAGTGACATCTCCAGAGAGGTCAGTGGAGCTTTGCCAGTTAACACTAGTTGAGGTTATGGACCATAGGACTTAAGTACTGCAGAGGTCTTGTGCTGACAGTTTGGTGTCACGTAACTGTAGAATACATTTTACAGTGAACCTATTGTTTGTACTCCCTTTACCAGTAGAAAAATCTAATATGTAAGTAGACTTGGGTTCCTATCTCACATGAAAGTAATATTGACTTGATCTCTGGGTAGCCTGGGTTAACAGGTTTATTGAGGTAATTCAGAAAGTTTAACCCATGTGTTGACCACTGACTGATTTTTGTTCTAGTACCAGAAGCCAGCAAAGTGCAAGATGAGCCTATATCATCACAAAAGGAACTCCAGAAAAAGATAGACCTCTATCATCTTCAAAAGGTCAAACTAATTTTACTTTCTCCAAACAAATTTACAGGATTTATCCCTTCTAAGTTGTTGCTTTTCTTGGTTAGGTGTGTCTTGCTTTTGAACAAACCATGTTCTGTGAGTAATTTGAAAATTTTACATCCTGCCCAACACAAGGTGTCCCACTGCTACTTGTCCGCAAGAAACTAAACATGCATGCCCTTGTTTCCATTTTGTCACAGCCAGATACTTATATACTTTATATACCTTTTGTAAAACAGTATAATAATTGAGAATACAGTTCTGAGGATATAATTTTATTACTTTTCCTACAATCATGTATTATTTAGGAAAGCCATGGCAACTATCTTGCATGTCTTGACTTCTAAAATGCAGCAAGTATTACTCTAGATAAATAGGTTTGCCATCCAAGTGACAGGATGTTGCTTATTTTATAGACTTTGCTGCAGCTGAAAGACTTAAGAAGGTCTAAGAAATTAACCAAGTTTGAAATGCTCCGGTTTGAAGTTGTTGACTTTATAGACAGTCTTGTAAGGTGAGTTTCCTGTCTTCAGATTCCTGCTTTAGTTTGTTGCAGTATCCTAGCGTACCACACAAAAACACTTATATCCAAAACAACAAGTTTCTGAAGAGCTGAGACTCAGAGGAGAAATTTGTGTCTATCAAAATCGCAACTAGCCCTGAAGTATGACTCTTATTTCTGCAATGGTTGAGGTCTCCAAGAATACCTCTTTTCCATAAATTGAATGTGAGCTGATTAAGATACATACTTTAATCTGGTTGGATCATTGTACTCAGTGATTCATCACTGGCTCCATGTTTGCTTGGGAGGAGGTATTGAGTGAGGTTCCCCAGGTGTCTGTCGTAGGTCTCTGCATTGTTTCACGTCTTCATTCATGATTTGGAGGACAGAATCAAGTGCATGCTTAACTAATTTAATAGTGACATCACATTGGATGGGCTTGCAAATACTTTGGAGGATAAGACTTAAGACTCAGAATGAATTTGAAAAACTGGAGATATAATCTGAAACTAATTAAATGAAATTCAGCAAGAACAAGTGAAAAGTCCTTCCTTTAAGATGGAACAATCAAATGCACCAACACAAAACTAGGGAATGATTGGCTAAGCTGCAATACCACAGAAAAGAATTTGAGGGTTACATTGGACCAGAAGCTGAATGTAAGTCACCATGTGCTCTTGTTGCAAAAAAGACCAATAGCATACTAGACTTTATTAATAGAGGCATCACTCATAAATCAAAGGAAGTTAATTTTCCTGCTCTGGTTGGCACAGGTAAGGCCTCACCTGGAGAATTGTATCCAGTTTTGGGCCCCACGCTTAAAGAAAGATATGGACAAATTAGAGAATTCAGCAGTGAGTGACAAATATGAGCAGAGGACTGGGAAACATGACTTATGAGAAGACATATAACTAGGATTATTTAGTTTGGAGAAGAGAAGACTGAGGGGGAGGGCAGAATTTGATAACAGACTTAAGATACCTGAAGGGTAGTTATATAGAAGATGGAGATGGATGATCCTCTGTAGCTGCAGGGGACAGGACTAGCAGTATTTGCCTCAAAATTCAGCAAGGAAAATTTAGGTTGGAGATGAGGAAGAACTTTCTCAATATGAGCATAGTTAAACTTTGGAACAGGTAGCCCATAGAAATTGTGGAGTCTCCATCTTCGAAGTTTTTAAGAACAAGTTAAACAAACACTTGATTGAGATGACCTTCTGAGATCTCTTCCAATTCCAGTACTCTACAATTCTGTGAAGCAGTTTGTGTAACTTAATCCTGGGACTGCAGAAAGATGAAGCATGAGCTCGCACCATAATCAGTACTGATCAGTGCGCTGTTTCTTTGGGAATTATACGGGCTAGGTGTGTGAGATGTTCTTTTCTACTGTGGTTACTGTACCAACAAAGAAGTAAAGTGTGGCAGATAGGTCACGAAGGCAGTTCCAAGCATAAGCATTCACAAGGAAGAAAAGGGAGAACAGAAGAGGAAAGGTTATGAAGGCAGTGGTTACTTCACTGCTTTAATACAGGGAAAGAATGAAACATGGAGTAAAAAGAGAAGCTGGAGGGAGCTAACTCATGTATGACTATGTGGGCTAAGAGAGGAAGCTTGAATTTGATGACAGAGGTAAAAAGAAGCCAATGAAGAAATTTAAAGGGGTAGGAGATGCAACAGAAGTAATGGACAAGATAAGCAATTGGTCTCGGCATTCAAGCTGTTGCCTCTGTTATGGGGTCCCCTCATTCAGGTAGGAGTCTAAATAGAAAGCCATAGAAGTGAGGGTTACAGCTGTAATCCCTAGAATTACAGCTGATGTTTAAGCCAGCAACTTTTTAAGTATTGGAGTGTCTCCATTTTTCAGAAGGGTTTGTTTTGATGCCTGTTGAGACATGCACTTTCTTGCAGTCTCTGTAAAGACTTATGGCTGCAGTAAGGTTTCATAGCACTCTTCTAGGTAGAGGCCTACTTTTTTTCTTATAAAATCCATGTTGCTCTTTCAGAAATTACCTTGCTCCTGCAGAGATGCAGACACTGCATGAGGTAGTGTATTTCAGCGCAGCAAGCACCCTTTGTGAGCACTTGAATGCTGCCCCACGCACTGCTCTTCATACTGCTCTGAACAATCCCTATTTTTATCTGAAGGTGAGAACTGAACAAATCTAACTTGCTTGTGGTACTGAGTATATTTGTGAAGGTTCTAGGTAAGCTGCCTGCATCTCAATTTTGGTGTTTCATAAAGTTTGGCTCACACAAGAGTCTGTCACAGGGAATTAGCAAGTGGCTGTTTACAGAGCCACCGGGGAGTTGGCTGGGAGCCAGGTAATCTGCCTGTCTCTGGGGGAAAAAAGATGACGCAGCTTTAGTAAGAGGTTTGGATGGGAAGACTGTTCCTAGACCTGTGTCTCGGAACAAGAGATTGTGTTCCCTTTCTCCATAGGGATAAGCAAAAAGACCTTATTGCTCTCTACTCTGAACATGGTGACCATAGGTCTGTGAAGAGGAGAGTTTGCAAGTTACCTAGGCTTGTTCCAGGGACACTGATCTTACAGAAATGGTATTTTATCTTGGTTTTGATAAACTCCTGTGGACTGCCTGCCTGATGGAGAACGGGTGAAATTGGTAATAGGCTGTTTGAATGCAAATGTCTCTAAAGGATGATTCCTTCCCTTCAAGGTCTGTCATATGCTGACACCGGGACTTTTCTTGGTCCAGCCTTCCAGTGCACCTCACTTCCCCTTCACTTGAGCTCTTGAGCTCATGAACCAGCCCCCCTTGCATACAGAGTGAAATCGGTTGGATGGGAGGGACGGAGGAGGGATGGGTGGGAATTCAGGGTTCCTCCCAGAACCATCCCATATTTCCCTTTCTAAAAATGCTTGATTATGGCCATTCCTGGCTCATATATATGCTACCCAAGTCAAACCCACACATGAGAAACAGGAATCAGCCTGAATACAGATCAGTCTTGAAATTCATGTGACCTACTTGGTACTGGATTGGTTCGTCCTTGTCTGTTTGCTTATTCGACCCTTTACAGTTTCATCCATCTATAAAAGCACCAGGATTTTGAGGAGGAGAGCTAATTAAACTCAACTGTTCAAGTGCTTAATAAGTATTTGCCTCCTTGAAGTCACAGAACTTAAAAGACTTAGTTCTCCCCTTTCATGCACTCTGTCCTTTACTTTTTTAAATGCATTTCTTATGCTCCTCGAAAATGTTTGAGTTTTTAATTGTGTGTCTAGGAACAGCAGCAGTATTGGTTGTTGCGGTGCATTGGTAACATTTTAATCTGTTTGAACAGAAGAAATAATTTTCCACACAGTATGGGTATATTCTGCACAGTTTGTGCTTGCATGGGATATATCCAGAGCAAAAGTTCTCAGGGCTCTTCTGACCAAAGAGGTGCCAGCAGATAAGTATTTGCCACAGTGAAGTACCAGTAAACGATTAATGAGAGGATGCCACTTCTCCTGGGAATCTGCTCCAGTTACTAAGTCAGCCCAATGTGACCTGGGTTGGCATTTAGCTTTGCAGAAAGATTTTTCAAAAACCCAGCTCCCTGGCAGTTCAGAAGATCTCACTTAGGCACTGTTTGGCTTGGTGCCAGTGCAAAAATGAGGAAGCTGAGCCCAAAATGTATGGAATTCAGGCAGCTGCAGATGCTTGGTCTCAGGGTGATAGCAAGGAGAGCTTTTGATAGATCTTAAACAACAACACCCAATAAAGATAATTTACGTTGTAAATATTTCCCTAAGCTGCATGTTGGCTATCCTGCTTTTGGAGGAGGACACTGACAAGCCCCCTGAGGCAGGGAATAAGTAAGTGTCCCAGAAAACATTTTTCTTGGAGGGACACTCCCCTTAGAAGGTTCTGAATTTGTTTTCAGTTGTTTATGCTCCTTATTTTAAAGTAGCAGTAGTTGCCAGTTAAGTGCTGTATTGGTATTTAAAGTCTTCCTTTTCATTAATGATTGTTTGCATTCTAGAGCTGCTTCCTGCTTATCAGTCTTAGTCACTGGTTATTTCCTGTCAGGGACTGGTTATGCATTGCTGCTCCAGGAAGTTGAGGTTAACCTGAGCAGCTCCCTCAGGGCAAGCTATAAAGACCTGGCCTAGTTATCCAAAGTGAACTATCATTCTTCAGCTCTGGCATAGACCATGCATTGAGCACAAGTAATATTTCCCCTTGATTAGCTCTTGTTGCCTTTGTCAAGTCCAAATTAACATACTTCTTAAGACTAAGAAGGTTGTGTCCACTGTAGAAGTTGTATCTTGTTTTAGCTTGGACAGCTAGTTGGACAAATTTGGCTGTGACGCCAAGGCAGTCTTACTAGTTTGTAAAATGGCAGTGTAGGGAATGATTTTACCATGTTTTCCTAAATCACAGAATTGTTTTGTAATGTCTTTTTGATGGGCCAACTTAAATGTCAGCTATGCTAGTTGATAGTGCAACCGTGACACTGAAGCCATCTGGACTGAACTGTGAGTGATGCACTGACATCAAGTTAATGCCTGCAACTTGTGTCTTCCTTGCACAATATAATTGAATTTGAAAAATTGTTGTACTGGATTTTTTTTAAAACTCTGTAAGGGAATTACTTGCGAGTGGTGGGATTGAGTTACGTGTGAGTGCTGAACTCAGCCTTGGAGCTAAACTTGTCATAACTTGGACCAGTCTGTTGTGAATGGTAAGTTAGAGATTCTATGAGCAGGAAATGAACTCCTTGTCTCATCATCTTCTCTTTGAGTGTAGTCTCCGTTTTAGAGAAAGTGACACTCCTTTCCTAGCCACCCGATAGTATGCCCCTAAATCATAGAAGTAGGGTCAGAAGGGACCTTGTAGATCTCCGACCTCCTGCCTAGGCAGGAGGAAAAACTGGGCTCAAATGATCCCAGCTAGGTAGGCATCAAGCCTCCTCTTAAAGACCCCCAGGGTAGGAGCCAGCACCACTTCCCTTGGAAGCTGGTTCCAGATCCTAGCTGCCCTAACTGTGAAGTAGTTCTTACAGATGTCTAATCTAAACCTACTCTCCAACAATTTATGGCCGTTATTCCTTGTTATGCCAGGGGCGCTAGGGGAAAAAAGGCCTCTCCCAAACCCTTCTGGTCCCCGCCTAGTGAGTTTATAGACAGTCACCAGGCCCCCCCTCAGCCTTCTCTTGTGGAGGCTGAACAGGTTCAGGTCCCGCAGTCTCTCATTGTAGATGTTGAAGTTCAGGTTTTAGGGCAGTTATTATCAGCTGAGTGCCAGAGAAACCAAGGCAGTGTACTTGGTAGGAGATCCCAGTCAGCTAATATGGATGGAACCAAGTACTGGATATATGAATAAAATGTATAAAAAAAAAAAAAAAAAAAAAAATTATATGGAAAAAAAAAAAAAAATTAAAAAAAAAAAAAAAAAAAAAAAAATTATATGGATAAAAATATAAGATGTCAAAGTGCTATAAACTGCAATAACAACATCGAAGATTTTTGCTTCTAGCTTAACATTTCCAGTCAATTAGCTTCATTGCTGACGGTTTGGATTTCCTGACACACAAATGTTTTCTGGATAATGACTTTGCCATCAAAACCTAGTTTTCAAATCAGAGGAAAATGTGGTGATTTTTACACATTTAAAGATAAAATGTACAGGAAATTTGCTGTTGTCCACTGGGGATGGAGGGGCTTTACATTTTTTGTTAAGGGTTTTTTTTAATTGAGCGTTGTGTTTGTTGGGGGAGGGAGGAGTTAAGAGGGTAACAGCTGCAGCCCGTCCATAGGAGAGGGGGTTGTGGGCTTGGAGAGGATGTTAGGGGATCTCCTCTGGGGGGAGATAGGGCAGGGAGTGTGGGGGGTGGAAAGAAGTGTCCTTTAGCTGGATGTCTGCGGTGGTTAGGAGGCATGATTGGGATGGGTGGGAGGGTTTACTTCTCTAGGGGTTTGGGCAGGGAGGTAGTGTTTGAGGGGAGGGGGAAGTTAAGAGTTCTTCAGCTTTGGGGTGTTGTTTGGGATCTCCTGTCCATGGGCTGTTTGCTTTTATTGTAGCTTTGAGCCTTTTGGATAGAGCAGGATATGAAGCGAATAAATAAAAACAAACAAGCTTGTTAAGGTATGCAAGAGATACATACTTGTATTCCTTTTCTTCCATCTGGGATAAAAAGAACTCTAATTTTTATTTATTAGATAATGGGGTCAGAAACCAAGTCATAATAAATTTATTTTCCATGGAATTGAACCCTCCTTACTCCAGTGTGCAGAAGAGATGTAGCAGGAGAAAAGGAGAATAAACAAACTAATTGTTGTCAGTATATGTAAAATAATGCACAAGATGGAAGAACTGTAGTGAAGCCAGCAGTGAAAGAGCTGTACTTTTTGCAAACCAGATGACACATTTTCTTATTTCCCTGATGTTTATTGCCCCTATCACCATGTTGCTTAACATACAAACAATAAATGTGCAGATACCTGCCATAGTAACTTCCTGCATCAGCACCATGTTTGCTGTTAACCATAGAGATCTTTAAGGATAAGATTCTCAAAACTACTTAGTGATTTCATTTTTCGTTTCTCTTTTATCAGAATCAAGCTCTGAAAAGTGATGCGGGATGCATTTCTAATAAAGCTCCTGACATCTGCATAGCATATAAACTTCATTTGGAGTGCGGCAGATTAATCAATCTTGTTGACTGGTTAGAGGTACGTGAAGATGAAAGCAGTGCTTGCATATGTATCATTGCTCTGTCTTGCTAATTGATTTTCTTCGTATCCGTTAAAAAAAAATCTTCAATGCCACTTTTGAAAGCTGAAGTTTTCTCATACCACACTGCATCCTGTCACTGCAAGTATGTGCAGGACCCACAAATCACCAGCCCACCTCACCCCCCTCCCACTGCTGGGAATCATTTATTACCAGCACGGCTTCACCAACAGTGAAAATCCTTGTTGCTGCTTGTACCTTGTTTATGTTGAGTGTAGATCAGATTTTATGCTTCACAGAGCTGCCTTTTTCCCCTCAGCCTTTTAACTTTTGCTGACACACATGTTCACAGAAAAGCTTGTGCAGTGAAGTACTGTCTCTAAGGTGCAGGGATTTTATATATTTGCCTGTTTATGAAATGTAATCATTCTGTGCTGATTTTTCTCTTTAGGCATTTTCAACAGTGGTAACAGCAGTCAAAGGAACAGACTCAGACTCAGTTGCCTCAGATGAGGTGGATGAGATTATCCAGTATCCTTTCTTATTGCTCTATTTTTTTTTTTTTTTTTTTTTTAGTGTTGAAATACTTTCAAGCCAGTAGCATCCATTATAGATGAACCAGGGTTTTACAGGCATGATTTCCCTGAGCATTGAGAATTAACCTCAAGAGAGCTAGAAATGCTTTTCCAGCAGGCTTATTGTGATGAAAATACAAATGCAAGGCAGCACAGAACCCACAAGCCCAATTTTAGATATTGTGCCCAATTTTCATTGCTCTGTAGCATTAATGTAGTTTCCTTTTAAACATGCCTACTTGCCCTTAATATGGCTAAGTTAAACCCTCTGTCATTTTAAATCAAGAATGTATGGGGCTGCGTGAGGGGGGCAGCACAAGAGGGAAGATAGATTAAACATGAGCATCTCCAAGGCATCACACCCCTTAGCCAGGTAACAATAATTAATACCAAAATGGAAATAAAATGTTGTGGCATTTTTTGTTGTGCCAGAGAGAGAAATTACAGATTTCATTTAAGTGTTTCCCCCTCTTCCTTCCAGTTCTGCTGTCTAGGAATATACAAACAAAATTACCCTTAACCCTTTCTAGGAGAGATGGCAAAAGCAGCGATTTGTAGGATTTTCTCTGCATTTCTTAGGCATCCCCAGGCCCAATAGAAGCTGGCAGTAGTAGTACTAATTAGATAGAGGGACTTTCCACCCTGTAGGCCAGAGGTCATGTTGCCTTGATTTGCATATATTGTATATGCTTCATTGAACCAGTTTGCCCCTAACAGTAATGTCTAATTGTAATCAGTGTGTACACTTATTTATTTCCCTTACCAAAGCTGCAGCGCTCGTTTTATTAGAGCTGTTTCTGAACTACAACTCTTAGGATTCATAAAGCCCAGCAAGCAGAAAACAGATCATGTAGCCAGGCTGACATGGGGAGGCTGTTAAATGACCCAGCAAGCTAAGGAAGACACAGCCATGTATCTACTCGGCCTGGGAAGTTTGATTATTTAAACTCTTCAGTAAAACATATGGAAGAAATACAGCCATTGGGCCAAACTAACTTTGGATGTAACTCCACTCATGTAAATAGGGTGAAAGGATAAATCTGACCCCTTATGTACTATGTTCCAGCTGCCTGGATGATTTTTTTTTATACCAAAGTGCTACCTCTTTTTTTTTTTCTATCCTTTATTTTTTCAACAGATGAGGATTCAGCTTCAGTACATGGTTTAATACCCAGCTTGTGCCAAATGCAAGCACTGAAACTTTGCCAGATTTAATCTTCTGTACTATTCAATACATGGGGCCATATTGATCTGACTTAAAGTAGAAGGCCAGCATGAGAATGTGTTGACTCGTCTCTTGATGTGGAAAGCACAGAAGGGATGAAGGAATGCTGTTAACTTGCTCATAATCTGATTGGCTTTCAATTGGCCTCTCTTATGAAATGTACTCCCAGTCTGTTTGCTGCAGGGGTTTTTAAAAAAAAATCTGTGTTCCAAAAAATGAAAGTAGGTCTCTGTAATCACAAACTCCTGAACACTTTGCCCAGCACTGGTATATGGGGCAGCCCTGGGGAAGCTTATTTGCAAATGGAAAAACAACAACAGGTTTCTGCATTAGAAAGGCAAGCAAAAATGTTCCTTAAGGGAGTCAAAGGAATTTGTTATCATCATACTATTGAAGACAGATTAATAGGACCATTGAAATTGTGGTCTTTTCTAGGGAAGTTCTGTGGCACTAGCTAACCTGTAGTATCGGCGAGACACTGTTATTGGCACAGGACTCTGAGAACAACGTGTACTTTTGAAGAAGATAACAAAATACCCGTTAGAAACACAAGTTCATAACTTTTTTCCCTGAAGATGTGTTTGTTGTGCAGTGGGACAAGCAAAGGGAAGCAGCTGTGTGGGATAACACCGTTGTTGATGGGGCTTTATAAAGCTGGTATGACAGATGTTCAGGCAGTGACATTTCAAACTGTCTGGGCCCTGTGTACAAGTGAATAAAACAGTTTCCATGATGGGGCTGCCCTATTATAGCCTGGTGCAGACATTAACCCACTGGTTCGGAATTGTTTGTAAAATGCCATTAATGTGGGGGTGGGTGGAGTGCCTGTGGGAGGCGGAAATAAAGCTGTTGGCTCCTCCTCTGTTTGTCTGTTTCTCAGAATTAAAAATCTGCCATGCAGGTATGGTCTCATACTGGCAAGCTGCTTTGGCTTCTCTCTTTAGGAAGATACAAAGAGAATCAAAGATACAAATAGATAAAATAACTGCATGTTGCTGTGTGGTAGTTCTTTAAGACAGGTTGAGCTCCTCAGGATGTATCTACTTGAGATGCTTCAAGTGTAATAGCCTAATACTACTGCAGTAACCTGCTGGGTAATAAGTGGGCTAATATGCTACTGCACAATAGTATTAGGCTACTGCGCAGTAAGCATCACAAAAAAAATGTGCTGGCACTAATGCACAGTAACTCTAGTAATTACTGCACATTAATGAATGCGTAAACACCTTCAGAGTGCTAAAGTTGGCTCAAAGCAAAGAGCAAGGTTGTATTGTTCTTTCCAAAGGGATATAAACATCTGGGGTTAGCTGATGAACAACCCCAGACAGCAGCAAATCATATTTTTCCAGGGGGAGGGAAGTAACTACTGCTTATTGTCATATTAGTTGGTAAGCTGCTGCAGTCAACATTTATTCACAAAGCCCAATAAGGCCTTCCCCATCCAGCCGCTGGAAAATAAACTTCCAAGCAAATTCACTTCTCCCCCTAAAAGCTGTCTTTCAGAGAGACTCCCTAGGTTGACTTGTTTGCTAAATTAATTATGCACCTGAGAAATAAGTGCTGGATTCACAACAGGGTCATAAGTGGCAATTTAGGTGCCTAAGTCAAGGCATTGCCAGCATATATATCATAAATCCCCTGCTAATGCTGTTAACAACTCTGCTGGAATTTCCAATGGAAGAGTCTCCTAAGGACTGAGGTAAAATGTTTGGTGTCTGTTGCACAATGGCATCCCTTTGGACTTCATAAATAGGAGTTTCCCCTGCCTGTCTTGCTTCAGGGCCTGATTCACTGGTTATGCTCAAACCCATGCAAACATGGAGAGAAGAGGTGGAGCTGTCTTTCCATTTGTCCAAAAGTCCAGCATTGAGGGCATGTAGACTGGGGGAGGGGGGGGTCATGAATTTTAGTTGCTGCTTCAATTGATATGTAGTGTACCTACTTAAATGTTCTTTGGAGCAAGGATGGCAACCCAGCTCTGTTTCCCAGGTGAGTGGCCTACTTGGTTATTAGACAGTAAGTCTCTAGGGAACTATCCTGGCAAAAACTTAGGCAGCAGCTGATCATGGGTGTTGAGATAAATTATGGACTCAGGCTTTTATTGAAGAGTTAGCCCTTGATAAAATATGGAAGCACTGGTGTTCCTGCTTTAGGTGGTAACATTTGAAGCACCTCTGCTGTACCCACTGTTAGTAGTATGAACTTGCTTTTGACATACGTTCAGGTGGGAGAGCCCTTTCCAAGGAAAAATTTTGGAACACCAGTGTAGACTTCAAAAATCTAGAAGTTTTTGGACTTAATTGTACCAACGAGGCAAAAACCATCCTGTTTGGTGAAAGCACTATAAAAAACCAAGTGTGTAGGTTGGTTTAAAATATAATCTCTCTTACTGATGTGCTGGGATCACATGCAGCCAATCAAGCAATTGGCGTTGAAGGCCAAATCTTTTTACCATACAGTCTAATTTGCTAATTAATTTAAAATGTTTTGAGGCTAAAGTATCAGAAGCAGTAAGAGGGACAGCAAAGCAAGACAGGACGGCAGTCTAAAGTACTATGAAAATAGGTGTTTCTTAATAGGTTAGTTAATCAGATAAGGGACAAAGTAACTAAAGATTAAGTGAAACATGTAATGTTACTCTTTCTACAAGAAACAAATTTGAACATTAAAGCATAAGGTCACTTCTGTTTGTTAAACTACATGCTGTTTCCCAGCAAGGTGTCTATTCCCCAGGATCAAATCCTGAGCTCACTGTGCTGCCAAAATGCAGTAATAATATACCTACTACAAAGGGATTGCAAGTCTGATTAGGTCCATCTGAGCTGCTTTTGGGAAGAAGATTGGACAGGTTTGAGATCTATATTTAAAAAAAAAAGGTAAATTTTTTCCAGCCTGTTTTTTCCTGCAGAGACTAGATTCTGTATTTGTCCTTACTAAGGTCCCAGCTAGCTTGGAGAAGTTAAGTATTGCAGAATTAGATACGCATTATCAACAGGAATAGAACAATTATAGCACAGGGCTGTATGCATGACTGGGGTGGGTGGGGGGTGTTACAGGCTTGAGGTAGCTGCAGGAGCACAGGTTTTGGCAAAGACCTGTCTCTGCCAAAACCTGTGCTCCTGCAGCTACCTCAAGCTTGTAACAAACCACTCCTTTCTGTTTGCAGGTTACAGTGGGAGCAGTTATGATTTATGCACTCATTCAAATATTTTACACACATTACTGATTGACTTGTAAATATTCTCAATTTATCCTTTGTTGGCTAGATGCATCACTCAGACCCTTGTTCCAACTACAGTGCACAAGTGCTTCCACATGTACAAGCCTGGTTTCTACAGCATGCTTGTGATTGTTTTGTTTTCTGCATGTATAAATCTCCCAGGGATACTCAATGGCTGCATTGTTTTGTGGCAAGTCAACAGGACGACAGAAATGACCAAAAATGCCTCCTTTTAAAAAGCTTGAAGACGGAGGGGGAGAATGAATCCTTATGCAATCTGGGCCCAAGTCTATTACAACCAAAAAGCTGAGTAAAAGGCCACAGCTGTAGAATAACTTACTGCTGCTGCCTATTTCAAAAACACCTCTACTGATTTAACATAAAGGAGTCTTCAGAAGTAGTAGCTTAGAAGTTATGTGCATGAACTGCTATTGCTAAGGCTCAGTTTTCTGTACAGAGTGAGCAGCTTCTTGGAGGTGGGGGGAGAAGGAAGAAGACTGGCCCAGGAGCTGGAGCCACAGTCATCATCCCCATTACTGCTTCTCCCTGCCACTTACTCATTGCCAGAAGTAAAACCCACCCTCCCAAAAGGTCCATTGGCTGAATCTGGTCTATGGGCTGCCATAAGCCATTCTAGACTTAAAATGTTTTACTAGTAGTTCTTGCAGCAAGTCTGAAAAACTTAAAAGAGAGGCTGCAACCTGGCTTCACTAGTTTGTGGGACAGCCACAAGAAACAGATTCCAAACCAGTTAGATTACTAGTGAAGGACAAGGCCAGGAAAGCTGGCTAGCTGTGGTGGGGCATGGGGAAGATCCAGATTTGGGCATT